CCAGTGCAGCTGTCTGCCAGCCCGGGCAGGCCCCATGGCATTGGTCCCAGGGAGTGGGCAGGCAGCGGCAAAGGCTCAGTTCCTTAGCAGGGCTCCAGCTCAGCCACAGCGGCCCTTTGGGGTGCCCTGGAGAAGCTCCAGCTGGAGCACAGCATTGGTGGCCAGCAGCAGCTGTGCTCACAGCCCGGCTGAGCTGCACCATGGGTGAGGAGCACAGCTTGGAGCAGGGAGGAGCCGCACTGTCCCGCAGGGGCTGAGGCGCTCACTGACTTTCTTCCTCCTGCACTTGAGCGATTTCTTCCTTTGCCACTGAGCCCTGCCCGTCCTTCACACCTGGGCTCACAATGCCTCTGCCAGAGGCCATAGGACTCCACCTAAGGCCTTCTGGTTGGGACCCTGTGAAGGCTTGAGACTGCTTGTTAGGCTGCTGCTGCCACAGTCACATGTGAGCCCACCCGCATCCTGCTGAGTGGTGCCTGTGCAGCTTGTAGAGGGGCGCTGCTGCCCTCGCCCCCCCCAGCCCTGCTTCTGGGAGCAGTGTGATGGGTGGACTCCTGGGATCCGCTGTGGCAGGCAGGTTGGCAGTCACACGGCCCCTGTCAGACATGACACAGGGCACCATTCAGCCCTGTCTGACGTGTGCAGCCAGCCCTGCCTGGGGGCAACCAGGGGTGATGTAGTGTTATTACCCCAGCCCAGCAAGCAGTGGCTGCAGCTGGTTCCCCTTGAGCCATGAAAGCCCATGTGGCTGCCCCATTCTGAGGGGGCTCTGTGTGCTCCTGCCAGTAACGTTAAAAATGAAAAAAATATAAAGGGGTATGTGAGCTGAAACTTTGAGACAGAAAGGGTACAGTTGTTAAAAAAGGTTGAAAACCCCTGCTCTATTGGAAGCATTACAGTAACATTTTTATGTATATGTTTCTAAAAAAAAAATTGGGAAGTTATTTATGTTGCTTAACTGTAAACCATTTTAATATACAGCGTTTGCCAACTTCTCAAACAAATGTGTCCATACCTCCTTCCACGTTGTCACCTTACAGACTCAACACCCTTCTTGAACTGATTTATAAAGCTACTATCTTCTCCTCTTCAAGTGTCTTCTAGAAGACCTGCTTTTGCCATAAAACCCAGAAGAAACCAGTCTATTATTGATGGGCAGAGTTGATTTTATTTTATTTATTTATTTATTTTTTATTTCTCAATCATTTAAAGTAGGGGTGCTCAACCCCTGACCCACATGTCATCCGGCACTCAGGGCTCCCCCAGGTCCAGAAATTGGCGGTGGGGGAGTGTTGGGACCACTCCCCTGCTGCCGGATTTCCAGATCTGTGGGGAGCCCTAGGCCCTGCATATTGGATGGGCACCTGATCCCAGTGTGCAGGGCTAGGTAGGGGTGGCACCAGGCCCCAGAATCTACTACCAGTGTGGAAGATTGGGAAGGGGTGATACAAGGCCCCTGGGACCCAATCCATGTGCATAGGACCGCGAGGGTTGGTGTTGGGCCTAAGGGCCTGATCCTGGCTTGCAAGGCTCAATCAGGCCCACAGACCAATTCCAGGTCACTCATCTGGTCCATGGGGCCAAAAGGTTGGGCACCACTGATTTAAGCATAAAAGGGAACTTGTACATGTGATTGTATGTTTGATCTTCCACTCTTAAATTGATCTTGATCCAGGGATCTCAGGTGCTATTGTAATATAAATATTATTAGATAATAATGGAGCATAATTCTTTTAAAACAACTTTTATGTTATGGAATATCCATTTTTTTCACATAACTGAGCATTATCTGGCATTACTTGTGAATGCAGGGCTAAGAAAGAAATAGAACTTCAAGAATTTATGTTCTTATTAACTGGAGGAGTGGGTCTCAAGAACAAATACAAGAACCCAGATCCATCATGGCTACCAGATAAGAGCTGGGATGAACTGTGTCGTGCAAGTGAAATTCCAGCTTTTAGAGGACTGAGGTACCAATAAACATCCAGTGTGAAATTCTCTATAACTCATTTTGGTAAAAACAAGACATATTTTTAAGTAATTTTAGACCCTAGAATACTAAAGTTATATTTATAACTGAACCACACAAAGTATGCCTCACCTTCAGAAGTCTGCATGCTGCCTGGCCTGGCCTGGCCTGGCCTGGGCTGGGCTGCAGCAGTGCAGGGCACAGCCCTCCCACCTCAGGCTTTTGGCAGCGTCCAGCAAGCCAGATAGGTTCAAACTGGTAAGCTGGATATGGCCTGCAGACCATATTTTGCCCACCCCTGCCCTAGGAATTTAGAGCCAGTCCACACAAATAGCATGACCCGCTTTGATTCTGGGGCATCTTTGAGGCTTGGGCCTGAAATACTGTAGTTTACTTCATGGAGAAACAAACCCCGTTTTCTGACAGAATGACCAGAAAGGTATTTCAGGAGGGATCGATTTTACATGCATTCTTTCATTAAGATAAAGATGAGCTTTAGTAGAAGAGTCAGGGAGGAGAGAGGATTGTGATTTCAACTCATGATAGGCCCAGAATATCTCCCTTTGCTTCCCCTGCAGAAAGGAAAATCTCTCCGAATTCTTTTATTTGGGAGTGGGTTTTTCCACCGCATCTATCTGGAAGAATCAGGAGGTTCACTTTCCAAATCAAATTCATCTCCCAAGATCCAAGCAGACCTGGAGGAACTATTGGTGGTCAGAACCAAGCAGAATAGAGGCTTTGTTCCTGCACAGCAGTGAGGGGAATGGGAGGAGAGGCACCTATGTTTCAGCACAAGTAAGGTCTAGTACAGGGGTGGACAATTATTTTCAGAGAAGGGCTGCTTACCTAGTTTTGGCCACATAGGTGGCCCTGCCCCTTGACAGGTGCCCCGCCCCCTGGTCACCATATTGGGACCAATGTCTCAGTGTCTTGGGACCAATGTCTCAGTGTCTTGGGACCAATGTCCCAGGGCCAGCACCAGTGGGGCCCAGAGTGGGGCGCAGGCTGGCAGGGGTCTGTGGAGCTGGGCTGGGCTGCACCAGCAGGGAGGTGGGAGCTGGCTTGGCTCCATAGAGCCCCTGCCAGCTGGGACGCTGCGCTCCCGCCACCCTGCTCTGGGCCCCGCTGATGCTGGCCCTGGGACACTGGTGTGAGCCCTGGGCTCCCACTGGCTCCCCACGCGCTCACACCCAGTGCCCCTCAGCCCTGCGGTACAGGTGGGGGGCAGCACACAGCCCTGACCCGCTGCTTGCCGGAAGGGAAGAAGCTGGTGCTGAGTATGGGGAAAAGTGGCCCCTTGCCCACCCCATGGCCGACGCCCCACACTGCAGGCACTCGCAGCCCACACGGATCTATCTGGAGCAGGCACAGGCAGCCCCAGGCAGGCTGCAAGTGGCTGCAGTGCAGGGCACTGGCCATGGGGTGGGCGAGGGGCTGCTTTTCCCCATGCTTAGCATCAGCTTGTGACCCACCCCCACTGCCAGCCTGGCAGTGGGGCCGGGTTACAAGGTGATGCTGAGTGCAGTGGAGTGGGGAAGGCAGCCCCTCCCTGCCCCATGCCCGGCACCCTGCACTGCAGCCGCTTGCAGCCTGCCTGGAGCTGCCTGTGCCTGCTCCAGACAGGCCTGCACGGGCTGCGAATGCCTGCAGCATGGAGCGCCAGCCATGGGATGGGCGAGGGGCCACTTTTCTCCATGCAGGGAAGGAGCCCAGGGAAAAGCTGAGCGCAGGGGGGAAGCAGCCCCTCCCCTGCCCCACAGCCAGTGCCCCGCACTGCAGGCACTCACAGCCTGTATGGGGCTGTCCAGAGTGGGCACAGGCAGCCTCGCGTGGGCTGCAAGCAGCTGCAACATGGGGCACCAGGCGTGGGCGGGGAGGGGCCGCTTCCCCCCCCCCCCGCCTCCCCT